GCTCCTTTGGGTGCTGCCCCTTTGAGCACTGCTGCTCCAGCTGCATCCACCCGTGGGCAGACCCCCCCCCCCCCCCCCCCCCCCATGCCCCTCAGGCGTTTCCCATGCCGGGCCATTTCCCAGCACTGAACTGCTCTTGGTTCTCCTGCCAACACCATCCCCATCACCCAGCCCTGAGTCACAGCCGATGTCTCCCAGAGCTCCACATGGCACAGCTGGACCCAGTGCCACCCGACGCCAGCAGCCCCCTCCCTGCAGCCCAGCCCGTTTGCCCAGAGCCCATCCTAAAGGTCTCTGGTGCCCAACGCCACCAGGCACAGCCTCTGGGTTGCTTTGTTTTTTTTTCAGTCCTTCTCATGCTCACGCAGTTGGGAAGGGGCCATTTCCTGCAGCGCTGACTCAGTCATGCTGTGAGGTTCTTCCCACCTGCCCCACATCAGAGCTCAGTAACGATTTCCCGGCTGCAGAGCAGGGGGGATCTGGCCATCAGCTGGGCGCAGAGGAGGTAACTCAACTTGCAGGCGTGCGCCGAGCACAGCTCCTTGGAATGCTGCTGCCCGCCCTGCAGGAAGGTGCCCAAGAACAGCATGTTCTGGGCAGCAAAACAGCTCTTAGATTTAACTAAAATGGTTCATGAATCGTCCTCTGGGGATCAGGGGGATACACACAGTGCTGCCAAATCTGGGGTGGCTGCTGGGTGCAGCGCTGGGGCCCCAGCACAGCCATCCCAGGGGAGCGGGGTGTGATGCAGCAGGGGCAGATCTGGGGCTGCACAGGTCAGTGTTGCTGCAGCCGCCCCAGGAGCTGCTCCCTGCAGAGCACCGGGGATGGAGAAGTGCAGGAAGAGCTGTTTGGATGCAGAATGCTGGGGCTGGAGAAGGAGACAGTGAGCTGCTCACGGAGAGCTGGGGGTGAGGTGGGGATCATGGTGCTGGCATGCAGGGCACCAGGTGTGCATGGAACCTGTGGCTGCAGCACCGTCCCTCGTGCCAGAGGGAAGCAAGGAGCTGCTGTCATGGAAGAACAGGAAAAGCATTCAGTCCAGGGGGGAATTTCCACAGGATATTTCTTTTTCCATCCGCTTAGATATGGCTGAAAGCAGCCCCAGCATTTGCTGGGTCTCAGCAGCCAGGCAGTGTTGGTGCCCAGGCTGAGCTCTTTGTTCACTCGCATCATTCATCCAAAGGGGAACAAACAGCCATTTCTGCGTACTGCAAAACACGGGGAAATAACAGCCAGCTGGGGCTGCACTGTGAGCTGCAGCTCCCAGCCTGGCACACGCTGTGCACACAAGGGTCTCACCCCCCCCCCCCCCCGGCACCGGGAGCAGCAGCAGCTACAGAGAAGTCAGAGCCCCCAGCCCCCACCCCGCACTGGTGCTGCTGTGCATCCCCACATCCTCACGTTGCCACAGAAACGGACTAGGCTGGCTCTTGCCATAAACACGTGGCCACTGCGGGTCAGCACGGGTCAGCATGGCTGCCCCAGCCTGCAGCGAGCCCCCATGTTGCTGGGGGGGAACCAGCGCCAGACGTGGGCCCAGCAGCAGGGTAAGGCTGCAGGAATGGGAACCAGGGCCGAGGGAGGCAGCGAAAGTGGCAACCCGAAAGTGAGAGTAGCCCCAGAGCTACGGCTGATGCTGGAGAAGGAACTGGGCAGCGCTGAGGGAAAGCCTGCTGCTCTTCTTCCTCACCTGGGTGGGTCAGGGATGGGGCGCAGCCTGCGGGGCCGGCTCCCACTCCAGGAGCTGCGGCTGCCATGGATCCGGGTGGGTGAAGCACTGGGCGCAGCTCAGAGCCGCACGCAGGCAGCAGGGCAGTGCTGAGAGGCGGCTGCACACAGCAGGGTGCGGGGACAGCGGTGCCGGAGCCGCCGGCTCTGACCTCTGCCACACCTGGCAGCAGGAACCACCACTGGGACCTTGCTTGGCTCTGCTCGGCTGCGTATTAAAGTTTGTGTGTGATGCAATGTTTGCCTTTTGTTTTATGAGGTTTGGGAAGCAGGGATAGCGCTCAACTTGGGCAGCAAGGGCTGCACGAAGCTGCTCTCGTGCTTGGAGCTGTTGGTGAGAATGGACATCGGATGGATGTCTGCAGCAGCGTCCTGGTGCTCCTGCCTCACCCCATGGCAGCACACGGCTTGGCAGAAAAAGGATGGAGGAGACGCAGAGCCCCTCTCCCTGTGCAAACCACCAGGTACAGGGCGCTCTGCTCACCCAGAAATAGCAGCTCACTGAGCTCTGCAGGGCTGCAGGCTCTGTGTGAGCATGGGCTGCCCAACGCTCAGGCAGGGAGGAAGGTGCAGGAGCGTGAGGGGAGCCAGGCTGAGGCGAACACCAAACCCCTTGCAGCCCAGGACAGAGCCAGGCTCAGTGCTCCTGCTCTGTGCATGCAGCCTTTGTGCCAGGTGGGATCGTGGCACCGGAGGAGCTGCTCCGGCTGTGCAACCTGAAACTGCTGTGTTTTGGAAACCCAAATAGCCGCCGTGCGCAGCTGCGTGGCCCCGCACATAGCAGGCTGGGGGCAGCTCCCGGAGGGCAGCGTGGGAGCGGCTCTGTTGGTAGAGGTGCAGGAGCTCCGTGGGGCGGCGTGTGGTTTTCCTGCCTCATTGGAGCTGGCGGGGTCATTGCAACAGCAGTCAGGGAGCAGAGGTGCACGGCCCAGCTGCCCAGCAGATGCCCTTTGGGCGCTCCGTGCTCGCAGGCGCTGCTGCAGCAGAGGCCACGGTACAGCTGCTGACGGCTCAGCACCCGGTGCTGTGAACGTTCAGACCAGGAGGGGCTGTGGTGCTCAGGTGCTGCAGTTCTTGGGCCCCAGTCCCCTCCACCCCCCAACAGCTTGGCCTGGGGCACGGGGAGGGCACACGCTGTCCTTCCACAGCATCTATCACCCAACACACCCACTGCTTGGTGCTGCCTGCAGCCTGGACGGCCACAATGGGGCTGGGAGCAGAGGAAGAGTACGGCTATGGGCAGCATCTGCACCCCAAACCTCGGTCCCAATCCCAACTGGGAATCACGTGGGGCTTGATAGGGAGCACAGCTGTGCCCACGCAGGCTGCCCTGGCAGGTGGCCACCCATCCCCTCGGGGCTGCCCCAACCCTGTCACGCGAGCGTCTGCATCCCAAGCAGCTTATCCGCATTTGGAAGCCCCTAATCCGGCCGCATGTTTGACCCAGACACCATCCCCGCTCCCTCCCTGCTGTGGGGCCAGGGGCTGAAGGGGAGCGACCTCCTTTCGGAGCTGCAAACAACCCCACGCCCCACATCCCCCCCAACCCGGGCTCCATAGGGCAGCAGGATGAGGAGGTCGTCACAGGATGGTGTTGGGGACCAAGGGGAGAAAAGCCCCCTCCAGGCTGGGGTGTGTTGTGTGCCCCACAAATCCGAGCCCTGGGCCGCCACAAGCCCTGCCAGCCCTCACTTTGTTTCTCTGTGTTGACAGAAGTGCCTTTCCTGCAACTTTCCTCAGATGCAGTCCCATGCAGCAGCATTGCACACGATGCACAGCCTGCCCACTGAGGCACAGCACGCAGCCTCAGCCGATGCCTTCTGCTGCAGAGCAGCCAACTGAGCTGCCAACTGGAGCATTCACAATAGCAACAATTGAGATCAGATTGTCGGCCAATTAACCCAAGTTACTCAAGGGACCGGGCCCTCCGGCTAAACAAGCACAGAGCAGGTTCAGGCAGGGATGCAGCAGGGCATGTGGGCACACGGAGATAAGAAACCACTTATCTGCAGGAGTGTGGGAAGGGACGGCCCGTTCCTGACACCCAACGGTTGTGGCAACCTCAGGGTTTGCATATCAGGGAGAAAACTCCTTCTTTTGGGGTTTTCCACCCTCTCCTGCAGCTGAGAACCATCGGGGAGGGAACAGGGCTGGGCCCTGGGGGGCTGCACGAGCTTCGGGGTGGAACCTGGGGCTCCATCCCACCAAAACCCAGAGCTGCACAATGAAGCACGGGTGGGGGTTCTCAGGGAACAGCGCCCACCTCAGCAACGAGCTGAGAGCAGAGCAGGGAGCACACAGGCAATAAGGGCAGCTCCAGCGTCTTGAAGGAGCCCAGAGGGGATTGGGGGATTTACTGAGCACGGCCTGCATGAAAAATCCCCTGCTAATCCTCACGGAGCAGTAATCTCTCCCTCTGGGCCTCGCCTGAGACCAAACTCCACATTCATTCTGCTGCTGCATCCAGCTCTGCTTCACCAAGGGCCACAGGTGGTGGGAATACAAGTGCTGGCTCATCTGTCATTGTCTGTCTGCTCCAGGCACCTGGAGGCACCACCATGTCCAGGTCCTCAGCCCTGGTCCCACAGTCTGGACCCCATACTGGATTAGAGACCGGGCTGATGGGACAGGGCAGCTGCTCCCCCCCACCGGGTCATAAAGGTCCAAGCAAAACCCTAAGCAGGTCTCAGAAGGGAGAGCAGGGGGCTGCAAGTAGGCTCAGGGCCCTGGAGGCACGGCGGGCTCCAACTGCGGTGGGTGTCTTCCCACCCTGCTCCCGCAGCGCTCAGCCCCAGTCCCGCAAAGCCCGAGGAGCCGCAACGACGCCGTGCTGGGGCCGGAGCCCGCGCCGCATTCGGTGCAGCAGCACTCGCTGCCGGCTCCAGCACATCCCCACGAGAGGGCAGGGCAGGGCCGTGCCGCAGCCCCGCACAGCCCCACGGCAGCCACCCCTGCGGGCACAGAGGCGCAGTGGGGGACGCCCCCTCGGCCCCGAGCTCCCCCCCTTCGGAGAGCAGCAGCCATCCTGCGATGCCGCCCAAGCGCCCTGCCGAAGCGCAGGCTGGTGGCTGTCACCTCACCCCAGCACGCAGCCCCGAGGGTCCCCATCGCTGCCTCCCACGCTGGCACCCGAGGTTTCCTTGACGCAAGTAGAGCGGAGCCAGGCGCTGCTTTTGCCCCGCGCTCACAGCTGCCCACGCGAACCACAAAGCGCGGCGCCCACAGAGGGTCGGGGCCCAGAGCTGAGGGAGAGGCATGGCAGACAGAGCTGCTTCAGAGCCTTTATTTTGGAGAAAGTCAAAGCCTGTAGATACAGCAATAAAATATACAAAAAATTAAAAATCTTTACAGTATTGAATGTGGCCCAGGGGCTCCATTGACGGCAGCGACACGCCAGCACAGGGACAAGCAACAGGCCTTATTTCCTCTGAGCACCGACCGACTGCAAAGGGCCTCTGTGTCCCGTGCCCACAGGCAGCCCCGCGGCCCCCCCTGCCCTCACACCGTGCCCGGCGCTGCCCAGGGGCCGCAGCCCCCTCCCCACAGTGAGGGGGCACAGGCGGATGCTGTTCTTGGCCCTGCCGCAGCTTCCTGCACAGCTGATGGACTCGGAGCAACGCTGTGCACAGGCGCAGGAGGGCTGTCCGTGCATCCCAGCGTCATTTCTGGGTAGAAAATCTGGAGCCACGCACTGAAGATGCTGGACAGGGTCCCTCCTGCACCGCAGCATTGCCACAGGAACAAACAGAGCATCTGCAGCCAGAGCACCAACTCCATCACAGCCCTGTGCTGCTGCCCACAAGTTCCTCGGCTGTTACCCACCGCTGCCGTGTCCCACAGCCCTGCTGTGCTGCTCCTCCTCCCCCCCCTTCCTGCACTGGGCATCCTGCTGCTCTGGGGAAGCACACGACCCTCACACTGCTGCTCCCTCCCATCTTTGCGCAGGGACAGAACCAAAGCCCACACCTGGGAAGGACAGGAGGGCTCCCTACACTTCAGTAAATACAGAACCACCATCAGCCAGCACAGCTCCCAACTTCCCCTGACCTCCAGCGCAAGGAGCCTTACTGCCTGCTACACCAACACCCATGGCTGCTGCCCCCAGCAGATTCCTCTCCTTTGCCCATCCTTTCTTCAACCCTTGCCACCTCCTAACTTAACAGTGACAGCCAACCTCCAAAGTGCCACACAAAGCCCCTGAGAAGCTGCAAACCCACTGCCTGGGACATCATACGCTGTGCCAGTGAGCCTGGTCACCCACTGCAGGGCATATTGCACAGCAGCAGCCCCTGCCCCCCTATCTGAAAGGTCTCACTCTGCACAGGGAAAGCAGTTGTGCTCCTGTCATGAATCTGGCCAAGGGGCCAGCCAGGGGTAAGAGCAGCCTCCTGGTCCTAAGGACCAAAAATGCAGATACTGTGTGTTCACAAGCACATAGTGCTGCTAAGATGCCTCCCTGCCCTTCCCCAGGGCCCTGCAGCACAGGGAAAGCAGCGCTGCCCAGGGCTGCTGGATCTGGCCCTGCCTCTGCCCACAGCAGGAAGGCAGCAGTAAGCACTGAAACTCCCTGCTCCTGGCAGAACACAGCAAAGCCCTCCACATCAGCCTTGGGCTCCTCCACCCTGCAGCACAGAGCCACTCACTGCCTCTCTGGGCCACAAGTGGGGCGAAGGGAGAACAGAGATGAGATCCCTCTGCAGGTTCTGAGAGCTGCTGGGCAGCTGCTGCACAGCACAGCAGGTCACCTGAAGGAGACTGGGTCTGGCTGATGCCCTCTCAGATCCAGACTCATGGGACTGTGGGCTTCCAGACACTGGCAGTCAAGAAAGCAGCTTTCAACAGCAGGCAGCACGGTAGGGGCCGCAGAAGCATTTGTAAAAAGTGAGGCTGCAATTGGAGGCTAATAGGCACTTGAATGAGCAAAACAATAATAAAAAACCGTTATGGAAGGAAATAGAAGAAGGTTCAACCCCTTTCTCCCAAAGGGGCAAACAGGACCGCTGCAGCGAGGCGTCTGTTTGGTTGGGTAAAACAAGGAATCAGTGGCAAGGATCACAGCCCCAGCTCCTCCCGAGAAAAGGCCCCGAGCAAATGTGACTGAAACGATTCGGAGCCACGCAGGTCCTGCAGGCGCCAGCACAGCGCGTCACATGGGCGAAGCAGCGCACTCCTGGGTCAGCTCCATGTCGAAGGTCAGCGACTCTGCGCGAAACCAGGCAGGAGTTACGGGGCTGCACCCTGACCCCTGAGCTCCTGCTGTCACCAGGACACCCTCAGGCACTGGGTGCCACCAGACTCACCAAACTGCCCTCCTGCGTTGGCCTCTGCTCCCTCGCTACTGTTGCCAAACTGCATCAGTGAGTCCAGAGTGCGTGGGGACATGGGCAGGTCAATGGTATTGCTGAAGGAGGTGCTGTCAGGAGGGAAAAGCATCAGGGCCTGGACAGAGCAGACACCTCCTGCCCCTCCAGCGGGCCCCAGGGCACAGTGCAGCCAGCTGGGAGCTCTCTGGAAGGCAGAGGGGCCCTGGAGGGGAGAGCAGCCCAGCAGCGCGGGCAGCACACTGCCACCTGGCTCAGCTCCACTGCAGTGCCCCCCTGTGCAGACGAGGAGCCTCATGGCACCCAAAGCAGTGGTGGTAAGGCTGAGCACGTGAACGTTCCCCTGAGCTCACAGATACCTCCAGAACACTTACGGGGTGACACAGATGAACTTCGTCTTCAGATACGGAGCAGCACCTGAATGAGAGAGCAGCCTGGTCACCAGCTGCAGGAGGAGGAGCCCCGCTCCCTTCCTCACAGCCCTGCAGACAGCCCTCGTGCCCTGCTCGCACCACAGGGTCCCCAGGCCATCCTACGACCAACACGGGATCCCCTGATGGATGCAGTTTTCCACCAGGCTGCTGTTCCTGCAGCTGCTCCACAGGCAGGAGCTGCGCTGGGACGCAGAAAATCAACGACTACCTGAGTCAGTAGCTTCTGAGTGTTCCTGGCTCTCAGAGCGGCAGTACTTCCCAAATGCCTCCTCTTTTGGGATGTCCGGGTACAGATACACCAGGGGAGACACCAGAATGTTGGTGGCATCCATGATTTTGTAGCCCATGATGATTTCCGCAAATGACATGCTGTTCAGCTGCTGTTTGGTGTAAGGTTCCACAGACTGGATCTGAGTCTTTCCTGCATGAGACTGTTTTAGACACAGGGCGAGACACCTGCAGCCCTAGGGCAAAGGCATGGACTTTTCTCCAGCTCCCCAGGGGCGGCACAGATGGGACAGAGTCGCCTAGAGCTGTGCTCAACCTCACGAGGCACCCAGCAGAGCACGTGGCAGGACAGACCTGCTTCAGTGCACACGGATGGGGCACTCAGGATGCAGGGACCAGCAGAAGGTGCCTGGGCTCAAAGATTTAACCAGGGACAGGGGCCATCGTGATGAGCACAAATGTCTCATCAGGGGGATGAAGCCGTGGTCCAAATCCCACCTTGAAGCCAGAAAGGCTGGCTGAACAAGACAGCACACCCAGGGCAGTGGTGGAGAGCAACGTACCGCTGATGTCCTTCTCCACCCACGTGAAGGTGATGCCACCCTCCTTGCTGCTCTCGCTGAAGCGCAGCAGGAAGGTTCCTGGAGGCTTGGTGCTCAGGATGGCTCGCTCCCGCTCCTTGCTGATGAACCCCATGATGTACCTGGGTGCAGGGAGCAAGGCTGGGTCAAGACATGGGGGCAGGTAGTCCAGAGCAGGAATCCTGCCACTTCTCTGTACGCTGACAGCCAGCAGCAGGACCTGGGCTGGCCACCGCAAAGCCACCAATGTTTTGGGGATTGTCTGGGGAGCCTCAAGTGGCTCCAGTTTGAACCAACAGGGCCTGGACAGAAAAGCATTCCAGGAGAGCTAGGTAGTGCAGGGACAAGGTACTGCCTCCATCAGGACAGGACCCGTGGGTCCCCAACCAAAGCTGACAATAGCTGAGACTCACCCTTCATTCCACAGTGCCAGGATATATTTCTTCACCAAGTCAATTATGTTGTCCAGCCAGACCCAGAAGGAGAAGCCTTTGCCAGCCATGTTCTCCTGAGGTAGAGAGCAGAGGGGCTGTGAATATGACTAGAGTGGAAAACAGCCAAGGGGAGGCACTCGGGTGAAGAGAAGGAATTATACCTTGCAGAACTTGGCCCAGGTGATCTGACAGCCAGAGTAGTTCACACCTGGCCCTGACAGAGAACAGGACTGTCAACATGTGCCTATGGCTGCTCCTCCAAAGAGTTTTCAGGGAGCAACACCAAAAAGGACAGCTTCCTTCCCAAATCTAACTGTTCGTAGGGAGCTGCCACGAGTGGCAGGGATAGACAGGACACCGATGCTGAGTTACCTAGAAGTTTTTCTGCCAGGGTTGTCAGCTGCTCGATGCTGAGACCACGCTTTGTGGTGGAGGAGAACTGCCAGCTCAGCACCTCTGCCACCTGGTCCCACGTCCCAATGGGTGGCTTGGTGAAGAAGTTCACGTTCTGTACAAGAGAGAACACAGCCCTGAGCAGAAAAAGGGACAGAAGCAAGGCCAGGTCCTGTTCCAGCCCTGCTGATGGGCCTGAGCGAGCCTCTGCCTCGCTGCCAGGATACCTGACCCAAGAAAAGCATCACTCTTTCACCAGCCACCCCCTGGATCCAGCTCCTACCTTGGGGTTGTTGGTCAGCATGTTGTACCACAGGATGGATGCCCAGGCATTAGGCATCTGGCAGATGTTTGAGATGACAACCACAGGCAGCGAGTGGGTCTGCAAATATAGGACACAACTGAGGTCTGAGACTCGTCACCAAATCCTGCACTGCCCCACAGGACAGCAGCCCCCAGCTGTCAGGAAGGTCTCCCCCTCCATTCTCTGCGTCATGAAGGCCCTAGGAAGGGTGCAGCCACACAGCAATGGCTGATACCACATCTAGCCAAAGCCTCCCCCACCCTGCAGCACACTCCACTGCAACCCACAACCTGAGCTTCATGCTCCCTCCCAGTGAGCTCCCCAGCATAGAAAGGCAGACACAGCCAGCACAGAGCAGGATGCAACTCAGGCAGGGCAACGCACAGCAGATCTGCCTCCCAGAGCTGCTCCTGTGCAGCAAGGCACAGCCCACAGCAGCACCCCTGCTCACCTCCAGATCGATCTTCAGCCCCTGGTGGTACACCTCAGTCTCAAAGGTGATGAGATGCAGCTCCTCAGTCACAATCAGTGAGGCCTGGGGGTGGAACAGAACACAGTGAGCCCACAGCAGACATCTGCCTTCAGCCTGACACAGCACTCTCAGACTCGGGCAGGGAGAGCTGAGCTGGCAGCTGCCACGTGTCAGAGGTGCCACAGCCAGCCCTGTGAGAGCAATTCCTGCTTCCCCTGTGACTCAGCTGCCTGGTGGGGAACGGGACACTGACTGCTACGGCTGCCCTGAGCGCAGCTGCCAGCAAGGGGCTCTCCCAGCCAGGGTCCCCTCCCCACTCACATCGCAGTTGGCTCTGCCTCCATTACCGCACCGCTGCTCCCGCAGGGTCTGCAAAGGGAACGAACAGGCTACAGCAACAGCACCACGTCACACCGCCAGCAGGAGCAGCCCGAGGCTCCGTGGCACCTACCAGGTGCTTGAACTCTGCTGAGAGGCTGCCGTTATTTGACTCCTCCATGTTCATGACCTTGGTGTTTGTCCCCAGGATGTTAAACTTCCGGGACCTAAAAAGAGAAAAGATGCAGCACGGCGGATGGCCGCTCGAAGCAAATGCGTAGTAGAACATTTGCCAACATTAAAAGCAGAAGTGAAAGAAAAAAAAAGGAAAGAAAAAAAGAAACCATTGCACTTACCCCCGAAGTGCTGCAACATCACCAGAGTCCCTGAGAAAGGAAAGAGAAAAAACAGTCACGGCCATGGCTGCGTGAGTGGGGTTTACATCAAGTCCCACGAGGCCCTCCAGCCTATGAATGAATCCTGGGGGCCCACCACCACCCTATACTCTCTCCTTTAAGGTCACACTGGCCCCCAGTGCATGGATGCAGCCCCACTCAGGGGCAGCAGGAGCAAGTCTGACTGCAGTAACCACACCGAGCACTTCCAGGATCAGAGCACAGGACTCACTTGTCAATGCAGACTTTGATTTTCAGCTGATAGTTCAGCTCCGGAAACTTCACCAACAATCTGGAAAGAGTCAGCAGACAGACTGTCAGCACCAGCATCACAACACGTGAACAACTTGAGATAAACACGGCACAGAAGAGCTGGATGCTCAGCAGTGCTGCACGCATCCCACAGCAGGCAGCATCATTCACCCCAACAAGCCCACCAGGACACAGCACAACCCAACTCCTTCGGCACGCAGCACACTGCCACGAACCTATGGTTCTCCCAAGCCCCATGAGGAGTTTGTTTTGGCCACTGACTGCCCACTCCAGGCAGACTGCTCTAAACCACCTGCGTTTCTTCTGCCAAGGAAGCAACTGGGGCACAGCTGTGAGATGGTAATGAAGCTGTAGGCAGAGCCTTGTGTCAGAGCAGCAATTTCTGCAGAAGCTGGTGAAGAACACAGGCCAGAAGACAGGCTTCTGGCAGGGACACACTGACACTTCCTGTCGTCTGCCCCCACAGTGGGATTTACCAGAACCCCAACTGTCTCCAGGAATACAATAGAGCCCCAGCCAACAATCACCATCCCCACACTGAGTCACCCAGGCTACACTCCAGCAGGGAGCCATTCCTTCCCAGCAGCAGCACTCCCCGGGCAAACTGAAGGCTGCATCTGAACCAGCACCTCCTGGGAGACGGATGCTGCATTCACCCTGCACGGCTTCCTTCACTGCACAGAGGAATCGCAGGGGCCAGCGACCCACCTGACTTTGGTGGTGAACTGCACACCGGTTTTGATGACCAGAGGCCGGTCAGGATGCATGGGCATGCAGGGCTGCCTCTCCACCACAAAAGCACTGTAGGAGAAGATAAAAGAAATGCAGTCAAACCTCAGCCCCATCCCAGCACACAGCACTCACCCCTTCACTGCCTGTAACCAAGGAACAGCCCACAGCTCCCTCGGCACCTTTTCATCAGGTTCCTGAACAGCTCCACGATCCGCTCCTCCAGCATTGGCCGGTGTTGGACAATTGGGTCACCCTTGTAGGACACCTTCTGCTGCAGTTCTTCCAGTTTCTTGATCTGCTGCCGGGTCTGGAGCTGTGATTCAGCAAGAGAGGTTATCCTAGGGAGTAGGAAGAACCAGCATTAGCTCTGGCTGCCAAGTCCTGCACAGCCCCAGCCCACAGAGCCCTCCTCCTCCCCTCACTTCTGCAAGAGAGGACAATCGCTGTACCAAACCAGCAGAGAACAGAATATGCCCACAGCTCAGCACATTTTTCTAGGCCACACACTACGAAAGAAACCTGTGTGAACCAAAGTTTTGCAGTTGTACCAACCAAGAGCTCAGGAACAGCCACGCAAGCCATCAACCTTACAATCTCACAAACCTCGAGCTAATGAATCCAGCATTATTGTCCACTCCCAAGCATAAGTGTGGCTACCAGATTACATTTACAACTGCAGGCATCAGTGGCCATTTTGCAAGGATGTGACCAAAGGCAGAGAACTCCTTTCTGCTGCAGGTGTTTGATTGCTGCCCCTCCAGGGATCGATGAGTCTTACCAGTTCTCGAGCCGGTCTAAGCAGATATTTGGTGGGCCACCAATGCAGGCAATTTGTTGCCGTCTCTTCCAGTCTGCCAGCTCCTCATCTGCCAGCATCTTCTGCACATACTCCATGGCTGACAGCAGTCCCGCCAGCTCGCTCACAATACCCTGCCAAAGCAGAAAGCAGGGCCTTCAGCACTCTGACACCCTCCGTGACCCGAAGTCCTACGTTCACAAGAAATGGAGCTGCCCACTGCTGTACTGCCAGTGCTACTCTCGTGGTTGTACCCACACGAGACTCAAACCCAGAATAAGAGCACACCGACACCCCGGAGGGACCTGGGAGGCCAGCAGCACCACGTACCCTTCGCATCTGGTCCAGCGCTGTGAGCATCTGCTCCAGCTGCTGCATCTTCTGACGCGTCACCGACTGATTGTTTCCATTCAGGTCCTGCATGTCTGTGCAGAGGACACAAGGCTTCAGCCAAACAAATCTACCTCCTACCCTCCCAAACATCACACTGGAGACCGCACAGCTGACTAGAAAGGAGCAAGAAATTCTAGAAAGCCATCAGCAGTTAAGCAGTGATCTCACACAGCCTCTGCCAGCACTGCCTCCAAGCACCTTTCTGGCATTTCTGCATACACAGCAGCACTACCACCTTTGAGTGCCATTCTCCTTTCACAGGCAAAGCTCTGGTTCAGCTCCCTGCAGGCCCTGTCAGCCTGTTTTTTGTTTCTGTCACTTTCTACAATTGCCATGCAAATGCCCTAAGACTAACCCACCCTTCAGGCTTGAAGAGGAGGACTGAGAGGGCTGAAAAACACCCTCCAGCATGCTTCCTTGCAGGAACACACTTTGGCTTGCCAGATGTTAATGAATTTCATTACCTCCCTGGCTTTTCAAAGTCTTGTAGTTAAAATCAAAGTCATCCTGGAGATTTTCCACCACTTTCATCTTCTGCTCCAGATCCTGCAAGACAAGAGATGGAATTTGTTCAAAGTACAACATCACCACAGTGCTCCTAGAAGTACCAGGGGAAGAAGGTGCCCGGGCAGCACACTTACCTGCACTCTCTTCCTTACATCCTGCAGATGCTGCTCCAGCATCTGCTGCTTTTCTGTCACTACAGCTGCTGTTGGATGCGTCGCCTGTCCCCCTTGCTGTAGAAGGGACAAGAGCAGCATTAGAACAGGGCTGCAACTCTGGGACAGTCCCTTCCCAGCCTCAGAAGGTTCTGCATAAGGAGTCTTAAACCCTTTACTAAGCAACAACAGAAAACCTCAGCACAGAGCACTGATGCACCCTAGAGAGCTGAGGGTCAGCTGCCCTTCACTGCAGTTTGACCACCCCTGAAAGAGACATGCAGGAAGCTTCAGACCAGAGCTTCCTGACGGCACCAATTACTGGGCAGAGCTGCTGGGTGGGCAGAGAGACGCCTGGGTCACCTACCTGGGCTGCGGTGGCAGCTGTCTGGAGGAGCCGTGACTCTTCCCACAGGCAGCGAGCCACGATGCGGGCTATTTCCATCGGCTTCTCCAAGTATCTGCTCTGTAAAACAGCGAGGGCCTCACAGTTAGCCTTCAAACTGTAACTGCTGGGATCTCGGCATGCTTTAGGGCTGTGGTCTGTGAGCCGTGACAAGGAGGCCACTGCACTTTGGAAACAGAACGGTCGCCTCCCGCCTCACCTGCAGGAACTGCTTGATGCGCCGCAGGTTGTGCTGGTACAGGACGTTGGACTCCTGCAGGAAGCGGCTGTACTGCTGGTCGATCTCCCCCAGCAGGTTGTGGAACACCAGCGTGGCGTGTGACTCCTTGTTAGCAGCGTACGCCCTGCACGAGGAGGGCAGAGTCCTTAGGCCCAGCCCAGGGGAGGCACGGCGCTGTGGGGAGGGCGGCTCCGCGCATCACCCACTGCCCCACACGCAGTCCAGCATCCCACCGACCCCTAAGCTACACCGGGATGCAGCCACAGCAGGCCCTGCTCCCGCAAGGGCAGGGAGACAGAGGTGTCTCAGACACCAGAAGACAGCACACAGGAGCACCTCGATTTCAACCTTGCTTGGAACAGAGGTCGACGTAAACCCTGACGACCTCTGCTTTGTATTTCCCCCTCTCTCCTAGTCTGAGGTCTGACACCAAACACACAGACTCCCACTCCATCTCACACTGCACGCATCTCGAGGAGGAAGAGAGGCCCCGGCACTCAGAGAAGCTGGCACAGTCCCCCCAGAGCTGCCTGGCATTACCCCCAGCTGGGGGTCCAAAGCACAGTCCATTTGCCAGAGCTTGGCAGCGCCTTACCAGTCCTGGCTCTCAATCCACGGGGCCAGGAACTGCCGCAGCTCCATGGGGAAGCTGTCACTGTAAAGCTGGTGGAGCTGCTCCAGGTACCGCGTGTCGAGCTGCTGCAGCTGGTTCCACTGCGCCATCCTGGCCGGCTCCGGAACCCTGTGGGGACAGGCAGGTCAGCGCGGTGCCCCTCGACCCTCCTGCACAACCCACGGCTTGGCTCAGGCTGACCCCAGGAAGGGGAACGGGGCAGGTCTACAAGGCAGCAGCGTGCTGAGCTGTGCCCACAGGGCTGAGCTCTGCACTGAACCGGCACGAGGGCTGTGCCTGCCCTCACCACCTGATGCCCAGCATGCAGCACAGCTACAACAGCCAACTCCAATTCTCCTGTGCTGACGATCCAGAGGCAAGACGACGTGCATCTGTCTCAGCGAGGAACACAGTGCAACGCAGCCACTTGCTATGGGAGATGCACTCCCCTCCATTTTGAGCACCAGAAAGGTTTTCTGCTTACCCCACCAGATGAGGTCTGACACTGGTAGGGCTCAGGCTGTGCTCACAGCCACCACTGCCTGCTGTGACAAACAGGTCACCAGCAGCACAGCTCTCGCTGCGACACGACCAGCCTCCCTGCAGCCCCCAGTCTGCCACGAGCCCTGGGACGATGCTGATCTCCAGCTCCCAGCCAAGCTGCAGCGAGGAAAGCCTCCTGCAAGAAGTGGCTGCCAGCTCCCAGCTCAGCACTGGGACCTGTGCTGAGAGGAGGTGGAACCATAAACCCAAAGCACCCTGCCACTGAGGAAATAAAGGGCACGAGTTGGTGCAGCTTGCAGGGCAGGAGGGAAAAGCAGTGCTCACACCACAGCGTTTGCACAGGAGCCTGCCCTCTCCTCAGGGGCCCTGCAGCAAACATGGTGGGCAGCAGACTGGCCAGCAAGCACCCATCAGGGCTCCAGGCTGGAAATCTACCCGCACGCAAGAGCAGGGCAAGTTCCACTGCACTGCCCCAGCTGAGAGCTGAGAACGCCTGCATCCTGACTCATCCTCCTTTCGGAGTTAATCCAAAACATCTGAGAGCAGAGCAGAGAGCCTGGCTGCTGAGCTCCGGCCTCTCCCATTCCTGTGCAGGATCTCAGGGCCGTACAGACCCACAGAACTGTTAGACACAGGCACAAAGCCTCGCTTTCCTTGGGAAAAAAACATTTCCCAAGCACCCGGCTTTGGCTAAACTTTCTCCTAGAGAGGCACCATTTCCCAAAGCCTTCCTACCTTTGTGCCAGGGGGAAGAGGAAGAGGCTTGGGCACGCAGGTCGCAGCAACAAGGCCGGGGCTTTGATCTGCTGCCAGTCCCTTCCGCACGCCCTGCAGTCAGCCCTGCGCCTGCTCCCGAGGGCAGGGAAGGAGCTGCAGAGCTTACAGTAAGTGCGGAAGGCGGAGACTGCCAGGAAGCAACAGAAACGAGGAAGGAGCAATTTGCAAGTGAGCGGCATCAATAGAAATCAAACTCAGCCTAACGAGGGGACAGCAAGCTGTGCAGGAAGCACAGGCACAGAGAACCACTGAGCCTCAGCACGGGCTCACTTCCCCCAGAAAGCGGTTTGATTTTTGCAGACAGCCCCAAGCGACACGTCAGCAGGGCCGCGGGGCCGGCACGTGGCTGACAGCAGAGCCCCCACAGGCAGCCCTGGTGGGCGCCAGCCGAGATGGGGGCAGCGGGGCTGGGAGCGGCGCCCACCCCTGAGCTGCCGGGGGTCGGTGGGTGTGGGAGGAAGCCGGCGCCGCTCCTCGAGGCGGCTCCGTTTGGCCCCTTCTGTACAGCAGAGCCCACGGGCTCCAGGATGGGTTGGGAACAGAGAAGCACAACAGAGAGCAAGGGACACCAGAGCCGCGACTGCTGCTGCCCAGCCACAGCCCTGAGCCCAGGTGCCCCCAGACCGGCTGCTCAGCACAAACAGCCAGCCTCAGCCAGCAGCTCTCCCTGATTTCTGCCACCTGACATTTCCAGCATGATTGAACACTGTGCTTTTCTGGTGCTTGTTGTATGGGACCCTTCCTCTTTTTTTCTGGATAGTTTTTCTTAGGGGAGAAAAAGGGGAATCGGCCACGAGATGTGCAGAGACGACAGACGTCGGCACCTGACAAGGAGTTAAGCTGCTTTTTAGAGCCTCACGGCATCGCGCAGCCCAGATGACAGCAGCAGCATCCACAGGACATTAACCTTGAACCACAGCCTCTGGTGCAATCTCTAGAGAAGACCACGTGAACAAAGCCTGGCGTTAACAGAGCAATAGGTGAAAGGGAGGAGGAGAAACAGGAGCCTGTGAAGGAGCAGACACTCCATCTAGGGAAGACCAGACTCTGTTTGCCACCTGCGTGACCCCAGGACTTCTCCTTTTTGCACCTCTGTCCCCCGACAGCCTGGGCCCTTTGCTGCTCACCAGGCACAGCACGAAGGTCTCTGCTCTGCAGTGGGCTCAGCTCCTCACTGGCTGCCCGTCCGGCTGCAGCAGCACTCACAGCACTCGCACTGCTTTTAGCTGGGTGCTATAGAGGCTGCCGGCACAGTGTGAACGATGAGGTGCTGCCTCTGAGGGCGAGGGGGAAATGAAGCAACAAATGCACAGCCAAGAGCTGAGAATCCACAAACCACCGACATCCGGAGCTCCCGCCCTGCACTTCCCTGATCCAAGCAGACCTTCCATGAATGAAGCTCTGCTCTGGGTCTTGCTGGGCTGTGTTTGAACGCAAACCTGCACAGCACCAGAGGTAAAACCTGAGCTCCCACAGGCTGCAGCGTGGGACAGGAGGCAGACACACCTTCCTGTGCGCAGCCCAGCTGTCCTGCAGTGTTCAGCCACACTCATCCCTGAAAAACAGAACTTGCACAAAGCGAAACATGAGCTGCTCAGCCTCATCCCACTGCAGGCAACTCCTCACAGCTCAGGCACACAAAGGAGTGAAGGAGTGGCTGCAGAACACAGGCATGAGTACAATAAGAGGCTCCACAGAGGACTGAACCCTGCGCGGGAGCGAAGCAGCAGCTGTGGGAACGGTCACTGCTGTGAGCTGTGCTCACTGCTTGCCAGTCCATCAGGTCCCTTCCAGCCCTTTTCTTCAGGGATGCCAGCACAGATGAGGAGCATCACATCGGGTTTTTACAGCCCTCGGCTCAACAGGTACCTGACCTGACAAACTCCCCCCACGCCACCATAGGAAGAGGGCTGTGAACAGCATCCAGACAATCTGCTGCGACGTGGGCTCTCAAAAGCAGGACAGCTCTGCTGCAACAGCTGATGAGGCTGCCAACCCACCAGCACCACAGGAGGATGTGGAAAGGCAGGGAACGTCTGGGAGCAGCAAGGAGTCGGGAAGCAGCCAGAAGGAGAAGAGGATTTTCCTCCTTCAGTGCAGCACTAGAGCCCGGCCCTCCCAGTGCTCTGTTTGTGAGGAAAAGGGGCCCTGTGACCCCCCTGACCACCAGTCACCTGCATTACGAAAGCTTCCACACTGTCAGCCCAAAATCCCACACGGATCCCTCCGCAGCCCATCCTGCTGTGGGGAAGCTCCCTGGAGCAAGTTTAAAAAGCCTGAGGGCTGAACCCTTCCAACTCTGACAGGTTTGCTGCCTCTGCGGTTTGCCTCTTCTCACTGCTGAAGCAGAGCCAAAGAGCAACTGACGTGACCAGGGCTGAGCACAGCATGACGCAAGCGCTGAGGTAAACAAGCTGTACAGAGCTCAGAGAAGAGCAGCTAAAAGTAGCCCCGGAGTTAAAGTTCATCTTTCTTTAGCTTCCCTGCAAGGACAGAGCACGAGAGCCTGAGCTGGGCAGCGTCACTGCAGCTCCACGCACTCCAACAGCCGGGCTGAGCAGCGCTGCTGTCGATGGGAAACAGCCCCACGATGGCCTTCGTGTCTGGGTTGTACCGGAGTGCATCTCCCCATGCCACAACTTCAAGGGGCTTCACCAACAGCAGCGATTTTCCAAGGAAGGGTGAGCAGAGGGGAAACACTGGAGAAACCCCTGAGAACACCATGTCCCCCCCTGGAAGGGGCTCAGTGCCCACAGTGCAGCACTGCTGCGATAACAGCAATCCCCAGCACATTCCGGCCCCTGGCACTGATCTGCCCACCTGTGCTCCAGCTCTCAAAGGAACAAAGCAGCTGCGCCCCCCCAGGCCCACACAGCCAGCAGCAGGCTGATTAAAAAGCTGTTCTACCAGAAAGCTGTTAATTGTGCTGGACAGACACAAGAATTGTGAGGCGGCTATTTAGAGAAGTTGGCTCTGCTCCTCTGGAGTGCATTCGAAGACAGCCCTGGAGATAGAAAAATGAAGAGGTAATGGAGAGATGTGAGGAAGGAAAGAAAGGTGATCGTGTCAGGCAGGGAGGCTCTGGGCAGCCTCACAGCACAGATCTCTCCAGACAAATCACATTGCAGCCAGCAGCTCCCAGGGCAGCTTGGCACCTTGTGGCTCCACCCAACACACAGCACCCACTGCACACTCACAGCCATGGCTGAGGCAGGCAGTACCCGGTGCAAACAGCAGCCTTCTGCCAGCACGGCACCAGCAGCTCCGGCATATTGCTGGGAAGCAGAACAGCCTCCTGTAGAGACTGTCTGCAACAATGACCAGGCACAGAAAGCTCTCAGCCAGCTGTGCAACCCCGAGCAGCAGCCATGGCCTGTGGACGCAGAAGGGCTCTTCCAGCGCCTGAGCTCTTGTCACACAGCCAGGGCCTCCGTGTGCCCTCTGGCAGGCAGCGTGTGGCAGCGCCGCGCTGCACTCCTACACATCAGGAGCACAGGGCTCTGCCCCACAGCCTCGGGGTCAAGCACCAAACCTAAGCCGTGTCCCAGGAAAAGGTCCCGGCAGGGCAGCGCTGTGCAGCGACAGACACAGAGGGGTAAAGCTGCAGCGCTGCGCTCTCAGCTCCTTCAGCTTCGGCCAGCAGCCCGGGTCTGGGGCACCCCGCCAGGGTCGGTCACAGCAGCAGCGTGCGGCCGCGCATCGCCCAGCCCAGATCAGTGCTGGGGCTCCCCAGCTCCGCGAACCTCTCCGGGGAGCCCACATCACAGCTCGGCCCCGCGGCGCACGGCTCTGCTGGGCTTCCCAGCATCACCAGCACAGAGCTGCCCTCCGCTCGGGACAGGGCGGGAGGTTCGAGAGGAATCCGCTCAGAGTTCCCCGTACCGAGGGAAGGACACAACTCCGCCTGCAGCTGTGGGAGAGGAGCGTTATCCGAATTACCTCCAGCGACAGCTCACCCGGCCCGCAGCTGCGCCCACACCGTGGCAACGCGGGGGGCCACGGGCCAGAGCTCCGCGAGGACCCCCAGGGCACCGCCGGCAGCAGGGCAGCACGGAGCACCTGGCGTCCGCGCGTAGCTCCGCGGATCGCCCCGGAGTGAGGCCCAGCGCGCCCCGAGGCGAGGCCCGGCCCGGCCCGGCCCCGCTGCCCCCCGTTCCTCCCGGTCCCGGCCCCTCGCTCTCCGTGCCCCTCGGTCCCCCCGCTTCCCCCGAGGTGCGCTCACCGGCGGTCCCGGGCGGGGCGGGGCGGCGGCTCCCGGTGCCGCTGACGAACGCGCTCCGGTCGCAGCCCGACTGCGGCGCCCGCAGCCCCGGCCCCGCTCCCTCGCGCGTCACGCGGGGCGCAGCCAATGGCGGCGCGGCGTTCCGTCCGCCTCGAGAGGGACGGGCCCTGAGCGCCAATCGGCGCGGCCGTCCCGAGGCTGCGTCACGGCTCGCGACGGCGCCGCGGGGGGGCGCTGCCCCGCGCCGGCTGTTCCCGGATGGCGCCGCCTCCCCGCCGCAGGGCGGCGCTGGGCAGGGGGCGGTGCGGGGGGAGGCGGCGACTGCCGGGAACGGCCGTGCGGGAAACCCGCTGAGTTCCGGGCAGCGCTGTGACGTCAGCGCGCGGCCTGCCGCCGCCTCTTAAAGGGGCCGTACCCCCGCCCGTTGCTGTCGGAGCGCAACAGCGACACCGCACGGAGCGGCGGGGATCGGCGCGGGTGGGCGCCTGGCCCCCACCCGGCCCGTGGCGTAGGGACAGCTTCCGTAGATCCGCTGCCCGGGACCCCGCCCAGCTCGGCCCTTAGCGCCCCCAGGGGCGGGCGCCCGCAGCTGCCCTGTGTGTGGGCACGGCCGCCCTCCGAGCGGAGGTTTCCTTCCGTACATCTGACCCAAACGCACCCCGTGTTGGTTTAAGGCCATTTCCCCACCCTGCCACCCCCGGCCCGGCGCTCAGTAGGCGTCATGCTGCTCCTTTACAAAAGAGCCTTTATTAGTTGTGCTGCTCACCAGGATGCAGTCATAGAAAACAATCAGAGCTTTGTCCAACGCGCCCGCGGTGGGCACCGCGGTGGGACCGATGCCCGGCGGCTCTGCTGCGCTGTG